TTCATCACTGATAATTTACTAGACTGACATAGGCAATATTCGCCCGATAACACGCCCCTAATTGGCCCCACAAAGGTCTGGGAACAATGAAGTTTATTGAATCATGAACTGAGCGAACATGATTCACTTCTTATAACAGGATGACTAAGATAATGTCATGTATGCCATGTTTTGTAATCAAATTATCTGTAAAATTACGGCAATTTTCCTCATGAACGTTACCAAAGTCAATTATATGTTATTTAGTAAAAATGCAATAACAGTGTTATTATTATATGGTGAATAATGAGATTTATTAACGTAATTGACATGAGAACCCACAACGAAAACCAGTTATACAAAATAAAGATAGCGAGTTAACAAATACAACAGTTTAAAGTGCCTGTGCAATGCCCACCCTCACATTTCCCATTTTAGATCTGTGTCCCACTGAAAAGGGTAGTTATTGATTTTTTTGCTGAAAATGATTACTCCTATCCAAGTAAAATTGGGATATTTCTCATGTTGTAGCCACGCCCACCTATCGTGAAACGGTCGACTGTTTCCGGATTTCCGACTCTCGCCGAAAGTGCGCCACCAAATGACAAAATGTGAGAGGAAGTCATACCCCTTAGCCGTAATAACACTGGTCGTTCAGTATACTTTTAAACGATATACATTTTTCGGTCGGCGTTTTTTCTTTTTTTTTGTCTATTTTATTTTTAGATGTTGTGTTGTGGGCAGTTGCAGTGAAACGTATAGTCGTAGTATAAGTATTCACACGTTTCTAATCGATCCGAAGGTGCGACATCACTTAACCTTAGATTCATTTTTTGGAGAAAAACTGTCCTCGTCCATAAAAAAAACGACTACCGGGGTAGGTTTAAAGAGAAACGCCGACAACGTAAACCTGGCGCAACACTTTTGAAAGAAATAGATTCCGGACCAGCCCATGATCACCGAGGCGGATTTCAAATCAGTTGACTTTTTTGCGATCCTGGTTAGCTGCAGTTAGATCCTGGTTATCGTTTTATAGAGACCATTTAGTCCCTGTTAAGTAAAAGGTAGCAATAATTTTGACAGTGACACGAAAACGAAGCGTCGGACAAACAGGAAATTACACAGCCCTTACACACTGCTAACTGTTTTCATTTTCGAAGGCTAAAAGTTTCTGAATTGTTTGGTGATTGGTGTTGAATGTCGAATTCACACCTCTGTTCTTTTTTACCTCCATGCTTGCAGCTTGAACTGCGTAATAATTTATGAAATAAGAATCCGGGCATGGTCAATGTATTTCACCAAATAAAGTTTTAATACTATGTTATAATTATGATAATCACGCCATGGATCACGCTAACTCGAATCCACTCTGAATTTATCTGTGTGTCGATCTCGATTATTTTTGTTATCC